TGTTCGTCTTAGATCTAGATTTAGCGAGTGTTTACAGAGTATAGTTAATATTTAATTATAAATCTGTTTTTTATTGCTACTAATCTTAAATACTTGCGTGATTTGAATAAAATTATATTTTTTTTAATGAAAATTGTTTAATAATATTCTTTTTAATTTCAATTAAACAACAAAAATACGTAGCTTTTTTGTGATGATGATATTAAGTGTTTTTTTTAAATATTGTTTTTATAAAATGTTTGCCTCATTCATCCGACCACCAACGCTTTTACCATCGGTGGTCGAATGTCGCCGTCTGCTGTCTAGACCGAGCTACCATATGGATGTACAATTGATATTTAGATATGACTTAAACTCAAGTATGGCGACTTTTAATGCGAATTTTTTATTCAAATACACATTTTTATACTTTAGAATTAAATTTGAATTATTATACTAATGATAATAATTAAAATTTAATATAATTTTATGATAATTTTACATAATAATGTGTGTTTAATATGTACTGTTTACGTGATGTCAATTTTTTTGTTTATTTCGGCACCACTTGCATAAATGTCGGGCGTTTTTTTTAACGTCGCGTCTCCTTTTGAGATGTTTTTGTTGCTTAAGTGGCGAATTTTGTACTAATTTGCTTTTTGAGACCATTTTTTTTTGTCCAAACGGGTTAAAAGCTTTGACGATGTTTGAAATTAATGTTGAATGAAAAAATATTAATAGTTATACGAAATTAAATCAATAAATTATTAATCAATAAATATTTCAGATCCTAATGCTATATTTATTACATAAAAATTCCGCCATTAAAAAAAAAGTCAATTGACATTCTATATTATTGACATATACACCTAACCTTATTTTTACATGAATTAATTCCCAATTTTAATTACTATATTATTTAAATTAATTAACAATATATATTATAATTATTATTCTATAGTAGTTGTTATTGAATTAAAGCGGACGCATCATAATCACATTGAGACGCCATTACTCAAATGTTTCCCATAACTGTTTACATTCGTATCTTATTGTTCACATCAATAATTTAATGTATCGCAAATGTTACGAATGGAAAACTATTCAAGAAATAAAATCATTATTTAACTTTATTTAAGTAATAAGAAATCGTAATTAAGTTTTCTTCTACCTGGCAATTTCCCAGCTATAGCCAGGGTCTGCCTTACATGTTGTGAATAGTTTTGGCTAATTGTTTTTACGACTGGCCGCCTGCCTGACATCAATCCTCTTTGCGAAATATGTATGTATATTCTTCTATTAAAACTCACTAAATCGTTGAAAACTCTTATATATTAACTCTATATATATATATAAACTAATTAGTAATTAGTAATCTCGTTATATTGTGTGTGTGTCTGTACACAACACTAATATACGCGCCGGGATTTGTTTACCTGACGACATTTCCGGCGCACGTGCTTGTAACACGATGCACTAAAATGCGTACACTCACTAGTGATGGGACTACACGCGCACGATGAAAAATACATCGATATCGATGATTTCAAATTTTAAACATCACTATATAAAAAAATATTTTTCTAACCATATTATCTAATTATTTTTTGTGTTAATTATTGTGTGTGTAAATTTATTATCGATATCGATTATTTTAATATTGTCCCATCCCTATCAATATCTGAGAGGATGAGCTTTAATGCATTGTAAGTCTACAAGTCGTTATACGTAATTATCGACTCATTGGACTCAACTCGAATTAGCTACTTCCATTGAACGCACTAATTATAAAACGTGTAGATAGATAGATAGATAGATAGATAGATATAGATATATAGATAGAAAGATAGACTTTGATGAGTAAAAAATTATCGTGTCAATTTGACATGCAATAAATTTTCGTGTTCAAAATAAATTTTATAAAATAAATATATGTAGGTACCTAATTACTATACAGTTGTTTAATAATGAAAAGTTTGTTAAAAATAGTGGTGGGTTCATATATGTAGGTATATGTAATTATTATTAGGACTTATATTCCATTGTACGTAAGAAAAAAGTAATCGTGTTTACAAAATTGTCAAATTCTATTGATATATACATATATAAAAACTATTACTAAATTTTACGAATCATTCTTATTCAAATATAATCATCATCAGCCTATCAGAGCCCACTGCTGAGCAAAGCCTCTTCTCACATGAAGAAGGTTTGAGCATTAATCACCACGCTTGCTCAAGACGGGTTGGTGATTTCAAACTTATAATTGTGATATTATAAGTCCAGGTTTCTTCACGATGTTTTCCTTCATCTGTCACTGTCTAAATACTCTTAGAAAGTACCTACATATATATTATTTTTCATATATATAAGGTTTCTTATTTGTTGTAAATCACGTATATTCTTATACAACTGCCGTCGTATAAAGATCGCATGAAATAAATTGAAAGAGCGATTGAAAATTGTCACGAGCGTCTTCCCGTCTTGGGAAATTCTTCGACCGGAAGTCGGAGCTTGAAATTTTCATAATGTCGCTACCTCCGGGACGTATTCATATGGTAATTTATAAGAACAACGCTAAACATTGAGGAGACGGCTCGCAATTATGAATTATATGAATAATAATACATATATACATATAGAATATAAATAAATATTAAGATTTATATTCGACTATTCGTATGTAGTTTAATAATTAGATTATATTATATAATATAGGATGAAATTCGTTAATTATAAATCAAGAAAATAATACGAAATTATATTTCAAATCGTAAGTATTTTTTATAATAAATATATTTAATATATTATATACATTATTACGTTGTAGTTAAAAAATACTAACATAATATTATTTCTACTAAATTCTTAAAACGAGAAATGAATTTGCAATACATTAATAATATGTATATAGTACGTGAAAAATATATAATATTTTTTAGTCAATGTAAAGCTATAAAAAAATCTACTTCCATAATTCTATGTAAGTCTTGGAGTTGGTGATTTGAGCATTCTTCACTCTCTGGAGTGCGTCATTACTAATCACTAGACAGAGACTTAAAATGAGACTTACAGACATATAAAAATATATATACTATATAAATATATTATTGGTAGTCGAAATTATTAGTATTTATAAGGATTATAATCAAAAATATGAGTAAATTTAGTAGATACCTATAAGATGAATATTACATTTTCGTATTAATTACTATGTGTTATTTTATTATTTTAAATAATATATTCTCGAAGTTTTGGTTACTTTTGAAGTAAACATGATCACGGGCAAACGAGATGTGTGTAGGTAAAAAAAATAACGCGTACTAATCTGAAAATATTAGTTTAATTTTAATGAATATTAAATAAATTTTATTATATACACCTAATATATAAATAATGTTATTATATATTAATGCATACGTTATAACTGATCGTGTGAAGTTTGATATAGCTAACACGTTCTAAGGTCTACCTTCTAGGTTAGGTTCTAGTACACGGCTATATGAAAATTGAAATTACTTTTTCACAATAAATAAATAGAAATTCCTTTTAATTTATTTATTATAGGTGTATGAATCCCTACTAATATTATTAATATGAAAGTAACTCTGTCTGTCTGTCTGTTACGCTACCACGCCTAAACCACTGAACTGATTTTAATGAAATTTGGTAAAGAGATAGAGTTGACCTTGAGCAAGAACATAAGATAGTTTTTATCCCAGACTTTTGAAAGGTTCTCTTGGAAACGCGATATAACCGAACTCCACGCGGGCGAAGCTGCGGGAGGAAAGCTTGTGTCAAATAAAACACCAAAATACTTAATACCTTTTTATATATATTTATGTAAAAGAGAATAATTTTTCAGTCACGTAAAGTTTAACTAAGCAAAGTAGTTGTTAAATTTAAACTGAACTCCTTTAATAACTTCCTGGTTATTAACTATGCAAACGATTTTCTTTATAATCAATATATTTCTGATTATTTTAAGACAAAATGTCGGATTTGTTGTGGGAAACCTTTTATTACACACAGACGGTAGTTTGAGCTCATTTAATATATATAGTGTGTTGGTTAAACCATAAACTACTGAAAATTACCAAACGTGATTCACTACATACGTTACGTTTCCCGTATTTCATTCAATAGTGTATATTAATACTATAATGTGTGATGATTAGTGTATGTTAAACTGTTAACGCTACGTGTGTAGTGTGAGCTAACTTGGAGTAAGCAAACTAAAGTTAATAAAAAACAAATTTATATTCTTCGTCTTCCTGGCAATTTCCCAGATTTAGCCAGGGTCTGCCTTACATGTTGTGAATAGTTTTGGCTAATTGTTTTTACGACCGGCCGCCTGCCTGACATTAACCCTCTTTGGGAATAAAAAACAAATATATAGGTATATCCAAATTCTTATTTCTATAAAATGTCTCTATTACGATTTTGTAGTTAACTTTTTTTTGTGTCCAATAATGTTATTAATTATATATATAGGTATATATTAATTATAATATATTGATATTTTTTTTATTGCAACATTAGTAGGTAATGGTTTTTCAATTATTATGTGTTAAGATATTTTAATAAAATTTAGATAAATTAGTTAAGTATATATTTTAGTACCTTTATTTGGGGATCGAGTGTAAATAAAAAAATGTATATGTCAACTAAATATCTTATTTATTAAACTTTGACATCTAATTATTTACATAATGTGCTAAAAACAATCTTACATAGAATAAAAACAGTATTTACAATAAACATAAAGACAATAGACTGACGAATTCTTTGGTGAAATATTAAAAAAAAATGATTTCATAGAAAAATAAATTAAATATACATAAACAGTGCCTATTTTTACCTAATTCTCGTTATATATTTTTTCAATACATATTAAATTTTCTCTATTCGTCTTACAATTAAAATAATTATATAACAACGTATATTGAATCACAACAAACAAAATGGTCGACGACTAATTAATTTATTTTTAATAAAATTATCTATATTAATATTATGTTTTAATTTTCGATTTCTATGTTACTCGCCATACTGTCGTTGCTATTCTCATTAATATCCATTGGTTTATATTTGTCGTTACTTTTGTTACCTTCGTTACCTTTGTTACCGTCGTTACCTTTGTTACCCTTGTTACCCGAGTACTTGTCGCTAGTTTCCCCATTCATGTCGCACATCCCAAACGGATGTCCAGGGTAATACATGTACGACAAGGGTAAGTTCGGGTAATTTACCCCTAAATGCGGCGCGTATAAAGATTGTAACACCGCTTGATTGTACGATTCTTGTAAAAGCGCTTTGTATTCGGGATTCTTAGCGAAATCGTAGACGCCAGCGAAGTGCTTGATTATAGAATTATCGAGCATTGGTGGTTGGAATAGTGCTGGGTTTTTACACGGTGCTTGGTATGTTTTAATATCGGGTAGCTGGCTATTAACAAGCACTTTCACAGCTACTTTCCTCGCGTGGTTCGCTAGTAAGCCGCTCTCTTGTAATTGCATCTGTTTCCTCTTAGTTTTGTACCGTCGATTCTGAAACCATATCTTGACCTGCGTCTCCGTTAATTTTAGACTGACTGCGAGGTCAGCACGTTCTGGTCCTGATAAATATCTTTGTTGACTGAATCTTCTCTCCAATTCGTATACTTGAGCATGAGAGAATGCGGCTCTAGAGCGTTTTTTACGTCCGCTATTCTGTGTGTAATCCATATATCCGTGTCTAGAGTCTGTGGGTGTGCTACATTTTCTGTCGTATTGTATGAAGGGCCGGTAATTATCACAAGAGGGAGAAGAATGACGCCGCGGAGAACCAGTGTTGGACGAAGAGTCGTAGTCATCTTAAACAATGATATTACAATTATTATATTAGATATAGAATAATAAATAAATACATTAATTTTTATAATTAAAATAAATATCAATCAATAATGTTCCATTTATAAACATTTCTATTATATAATGTTAATATATCGTGTTACTAAAGTTCCAAATTCAAATCATCCAAAACATAAAGCTCCTTCCACAATGAATCAATTACCGCTCACGCCACCGGCCGCGTGTCAATGAATCCATTACGCAAATTGTCATTACGCTCATGGATTGATTTAACTGGATTTTTGCGTGACGTTTCAACCTTTTGTGTTGGTATTGATACTTTAATTTCTTTAAAAGTTTCACCATTAATGATTTATGATCTAAATACTAATAACATTGTGTCTTTTCACCATAATATCTATAGGAATTAGGATATTTTCTTTAGCAACTAGACATGACTTTAAATAATAATAAATCTAAAACTACACAATACTCTATTATGGAGAGAATGCATAATATTCAGTAAATTTAAAAATGGATATGAAATTTATTATGTCAAAAATTATATTAAAAAAATTGCGCGTAAAGCCGCGGTCTTGAATCGTTAAATAATAAAAGCTCGCACGTGTCTTAGTAATTACTTGATTGTGTTAAATCGTCATCACTTATATTAATGAGGGTCGGACAAGTGACGCGTAAGTGGGGACGTCGCGGCTCGACACCAGTCTGACGCGCCATTACACACACATTGTAATGTAATTGTGGAGGATTTGAATTTGGAACGATCCCTTTCAAAGAAGTAATGTAATGATACTCTTTGGTTGAAGATTAAAAAAATAAAAAGCTAGTGGCTCGAGAGAATTTTTAAAATTAGAATTTGTTGTCTTTATTGCAAACTTCTTTAATAGAGGTAATGCTTCTGGTGTTTTAGAGTTCTAAATTTGAATTAAAGTTGATGTTTTTTTATTATGAAAGCAATGATTTATTTGTTAGCGTAAGAACAATATTGGCTAGACTATAAATAGTAAAAGAAACATTATTGAAAATATAATTTCTAACGATGCTTTTCTTTTAAATAAGCTCAATCTAATTTTTGAAGTTAATATTCAGATCTCAAAATAAGTCAGTTAATATACAGATTCAATGATAATAAAACCAATAATTAAACAAAAAAGTATACGTAATAATTACTGATTATAGTAAGCTAATTTTAACAAAGACTTAATTCATTTACACACAAAATTGTACGTCGGCACAGCGGCAAATGTGGACTAATAAAAACTAGAAATAAAATTCTATATATAAAACTCACCGGATAATTCTGTAACCGGGAAATTATTCTTCCTAGACATATCAATGGCTCCATCATCAGCGTAATCCTTATAATTATCGTCGTAGTAATTCATACTCTTTTCAGCGGCCTCCTTCTTGTAATCGTCCTTATTGTAACTGGCCGGTTTGAGGCATTTCATTTTCCCGCCGAACGCGTCCGAGCAAAACATTCCATTTTCAAAATTGCACTTGGACTCATTCTCTCTAGTCAGTATGTCGTTTATCGAGAACGGTGTCGTTAGATTTATATTAGTTTTATCACTGTCCTGTATGTGAGTGTCTTTGTAATTTAATTTGGACTCCATCTTTACTGGCACATACGTAATACGCGGCGCGGACGCAGAGCCGTGTTACCGCAAAGCGTTCCTCAGACGAATAAACTTTGTGTGATAGATTGCCCGCCTGCTTGAGGTATAAGCCTCCGAGAGGGACGGCAATAATAGACTTTTCCCTTTATTTGCACGTGTTAGAAAGAGACGGGGATGTTTTAGGGCGGTCGTTTATAAAAAATGCTTCCAAAGTAGCGTAAGTAGTGGGGATCGTTGAAGTTTTTCTTGAAGATGTTTACGTGAATCCAATTTGATCGTTTTCGTCTTAAGCGAAATGGTACGTATGTTGTGTATTGGTCGTTTTATATGATTTATTTTTAATACCGTTACATATAAACAATAGCTACAGTTAATGTATATGTATTTATAAATCTAACCAGTTATATTACTTTCGTAAGCATAGTTATCTTAAAAAATATTTTCAATTTAATATAAAATTTCTAATGGCCATAAACAGGACGATTAAATATAATTTTAAATATATAAGAAAAATTTTCAATATTTAAAGTGTAATAAAATCGTTATAATAATTTAATCGGTGTGCCAATCCAAAATAACACCTACCTATAGCCGGCACGTAGAACTTCGCTCGGGCGTCCACGTTGACACGATGCCTTATCATAAGTATCCGAGGAGTGTCTATCTGTCCTTGTCGCACACACCACAAACACCCTTTACCCTTAACAGCCGTCCCGTTCTATTATTAGAGCAATTCAAATAGACCAATCAGGTGTACGATAGAGATTGCGGTCGGCCAATAAAAAATGTGGGTGATAGGAAATGTCAACATAAATTTTCTTTTTTTAAATGCGTTCGAAATTCAAAACGGCCGGCGTTCGTGGAATTAACGAGGATGTTATTATTGATATCAAAGTTTTTTGTTTGTTTGTTTTTATATGAATATTGATTGATTATAAATAAATTGATTCCTGAACGTGTTTGTGTGTTGGTTTTATTTCTGTTTTATTGCGGTTTTTCGGTGTTAGTAATAATTTTTATAAATTGATAAATAAATTCGTACGTACATGTAAGTGCATTAGGTTTGATTTAAGTTTTTTTCTTATTATTTATATTAATCCGTTAAATAACTTTTTCACCACCATTTGACATCATAATTATTTGCATGTAGCTAGGTACGTTATTGTCTTAACTCAATATCAATAACTTAAGGGAAAATTCTACTTTACATTCCCATACTTAAAATTTAAGAGTACAATTAGTGAAAGTAATTAATAAACTCATAAATAAAATAATATAAATGCACCGAGTATCATATATTACTTAGAAGAAAAATATATAAACTCATTGGTTCAAAAAGAAAAAAAATACAGTATCTACTCTGCATTATAAACGGAAAGGTCCAAAACTATACAGCCACGGAATAATAAAATGATTATTGACAATAACAAAACTCTTTATAATCATTGATGAGGCGAAAGTCCAAATTATTCAGCCATAAAATCATAATAATATAACTCTTTTCATAATACGTCTGTATACTTAATATAAAGCAGACCATCGAGTGTGTATCAAATGACATCAAGTGTGTATAGAGCTAGTACATTTAGAGGGGACTAATAATATAATATCTATACCTAATTTTTTAAATGAATTCTGTATGATAAGTAGAGAAAGTGGAAATTTAAATTTAAACAGTGTTTTATCAAGCAGTTAAAATATATTGAAATGTCCTTACAAATATACTTGCATGTTATAAAACAGAAAGTTGATTAAGAGTTAATGGATGTTTGTTTTGTTAAGCAAAATCTACTAAACAGATTATCATTAAGCTTCACAGTAAGATTCTTACTTTTAACATCAAAATGAGGCTCTAATTATGATTTATCCTGAAAAATCTGTTTAATTAACAATATGCTTATTATAAGTTAGCATTGTCACTACAGTGTACATACGAAGCCTTTCCCGTTCCTCATAGAATAATCTACGTTAATACTATAATGGATAAATGTATGTAATGTACTTAGATATTAAATAAATATTTTATATAATTATATAAAATGGGGGCTCAAAAAGACGTTGTTTCGTTTGAATGAAATATGAAATGACTGTAGAGAACAAAACTTAATATTCACGAATCATTAATGACAAAAATGTTGACGCTTCGTATCGTACGCTAGGTAAATTATGTTTTGTATGAATTCGAATGAAACTAACAAATTTTTCTTTGAAAATCTATTAACATAATGCTCGCTGAGTTTAATGTCCAAGTGCACACGGATGGAATCGCAGGCATGAACTAGTATATCTGTATGCCACCTCTATATATCACAAGCTCTGTGTCCCTATTAAGTGTTTGTAAGTGTTGGGTGACCGCACTCTATGTATATTGATATAATCATTAACTCATTAACATTCATTAATTACTCACTGTACTACTACTGTATAAGGAAATTATTATGAGGAGTGAGAGGGATAGAGCGAAAGTGAGGGAAAGAGATAGAAATATGAAATTAAATTTAATACTACCCTCATTATATTGAACAATTTAAATGTATTCAATTATGAAAATATATTTTTTTTATAACCAACTATACGAATAATATAAACTAGATAGAATTTAAATATCTAATAATTATTATTTTGTAAATTATAGTTATATTTAATACATAATTACCTACATATAAATAACAAAATGAATGTTGGTTTTTTATTATTATCTATTTAATATGAGAAAAATATTTATTAGGAACATTATCTAAGTATTAATGTATTACTCTTACCTACTATCAGTAGTAACGTGAAACTATACACTGATAGTATCACGTTAAAAGTTAGTCACTCATAATAAGGTTTAAAATATTACGTGAGGTTAGATAAGTAAGTAGGTATAACTTAATGAAATACTTCAAAATCGGTATTTACTTAAAGATGACAACTTGTGGTAAAAAAGATGAATTGATGTAAGAGTGTTATACAAAAATAATTAAAACATTGGGGATTAATTAAAAAATATAAAAAAAATTAATTTAAATCATGTAGAAAATGGATAGTGACAAATGACAATTGATCCTACAAATCCTTATCCGTGAATAATCCGATATACCTAAATAATATATAGATATTTCTCAGACTATTTAAGGAGAATACTCGGTAGGTACATGATTCTCATTCGAATTATGTAAAAAAAATAGGCACTTAATTTTTGACAAAATTTCCGTATAAATAAATAAAGTGTTGACACATTCCAAGTGTTCCAATATCACGTCCACAAATATCGATAGTAATTTACCAGTCACCCTGTATATGAAAATATTTTTAGAATGTATTAGGTTACAATATAGTTTTATTAAAATTTAAACAACAAAAAGAGATTTTGTTTTACTTAGTGCATACGTACGTATGTACTGGAATATAATTTGGTGCAATTTTTCTGTCTGTCTGTTTGTTCCGACTATCCTTGAAAAGGAAAAGATCGATTTTGAAATTCCTTTCACTCTATTTCGTTTTTGTGGTAAGAGGTAATACACCTAGGCTACTTTCATTTGAGAAATTTTTTATACATCTTTATATATATAATTCTTCTGTGAGTGTGTATGTCACTGAACATCTCTCAAACGACTGGACCGATTTTGATGAAATATTTTGTGTGTGTTCAAGGGGATCTGAGAATGGTTTAGAATCACAATTTTGTTCGCTGGACAATGTTTTTTTAATTAATTTTTAAATTATTAGTAATTGTTTTTTTACAAACTTTTTTTTTGGCATTAGGTTTGACAACTAACTAATGACACAAGGCTCTCTGATTGGTCCGTAAACTGTTCATATATATTTTTCGCCATTTTATTATTATTGAATATTGTCATTTATCTTTCTAACTTCTAAGAACAAGTACCTAAATAAGTTTTAATTAGTTTATTAGTAAACAGTAGATTAATTAATTAACAGTGGATTAATTTATTAACAGTGGATTTACTAACAGTTGATTAAATAATTAACAGTGGATTAATTTATTAACAGTGGATTAATTTATTAACAGTGGATTAACTAACAGTTGATTAATTTATTAACTGGGGATTTACTAATAGTGACGCTGGCCCCGGGAAGTGTCTCTTGGACATAAGGGACCTCTAAATTTTCCTGGGAACATTCTGCCACTTAATGGAATACATACCTTATACTTATTACCTACTTACTGTAAACAGATATTTTTTATTTTTTTTAAACATATCTACTCTCTTTTAATCAAATGCTATACCCAAATCTATACCGTTCCTTTATTATAATCCTTAATATTCAAATAAATTTACTATAACTGTGTAAATGTTTCACGGCTAATATGCTGAGCCGTTTGTTACAAAATTGGATATGGATAGTCTGAAATCTGAAAAAGAACATACGCTACTTTTTATCAAAACTCCACGCGGGCGAAGCCGCGGGCGGAAGGTAGTACAAATATAAAAAAACATCTACTTATTCTAAGTGAGAGAGTGACTGAAGTAGCAAGCAAATATAGAAATATAAAGACCAAATTAAGGTCAATAAAAACATCGGTGCTATTTTAACACAAGCTGATAAAAAAACATCGAACAAAGATCTGGAAGCAAACTGCCACAAAACAAAGAGGTTTTAATGGACGTGTTTTATAAAAGCTTCGTACAGAGTGTTGGACAGATGATTGTATTGTTTGTGATAACACAAGGTCGATTGATATATAAATGAGATTTAGACAAAGGGTTGATGATCTTATCATATAAATATGACTGTATAATAGATTTAATTAATATTTTATCGGTAAAACTTTTTGATATATAATTTTAAATATATTTTAAAAATGATTTTTATATAAATAATCGTGTATGTTATTTTGGTGGGAAGTGTCATAGGAATATTTTATATTTATTCAAATATCAAAAAAAAAAGTACTTATTTACTATTTTTATTTATATTTTTATATATCGATATAAGATATTTATAATATTTTTTAAAATAAAATGGTTACTTTTGCTAATAAGAAT